CATGATAATTAAATGTACCAGATGGTGGAACTCACCTTATTGGATGTTTAACGGTCACAGTTTGAGGCCTATTCTAATGTGGTCAGAGGGACTTAAAGGACAGTTTTTGACCCTTGCCCTCCAAGGTCGACTAAGTTCCAGGGGGCTATGAAACATCTCTCAAAATGTCCTGTAACTGTGGTAAGTCACCTGTCCTCTTGTTCAGGGAAGACATGGAGACCCCATGAGATGGACTTGAACCAGTGTCCAGTCTACAAAGAGGGGGGTCAACTCAGAGGAAACAACTCATTCATGCTTCCAAGTAAAGCCAGACATGGTCGAGCTGGACTTTTGACTTATCTTCACACAGATGGAACTAGTAAAAGGAGCCAGGAGCTCCTCCCAAGCCCATGTGACCCCTGAGGAACAGAACCTCAAATGACCTTAAGTGTAAAAATAAATTGATTTCTTTGGGCCAAATGCATGGCCTTAAACACCCAAAAGGAAAGTATAACCAAAGAGTAAAGTCATCAGTATATTTCTTTAAGAGTTCAAGGGATTACACTTCCCAGACATTATGCTTAAGTCTATATAAAAAGTTTAGACAATTATTTCTCATTAATTATTTTGTTCCTAACCAGAAACTGCTGCTCAGATGTAAGATTTCAAATCTTGGTCTCCAATACTGTAGTGCCCACCTGTAGCTAAGGCAGACAACCAGCTATTGTTCTAAAACGATGGCCAAGTTTGTTTTCTCCCCCTATCTAGAAGCCTTTGAGAGGGAACTGACACTGATTCTAACCACTCCAACAGCTATCAAAATACCTGAAAGCAAACCCTGAATCCATCACTCTAGAGTCCAGCCTTGGAAGACAAAAGAAAAATGAGGAGGAACCCAATAGAGGGATGCTTTTGGAAGCCCTTGTCAAGAAACTCCAATGGACTCTCATATGAACATTTGAAAATTGCCCTGTTCTTTTTTCTAGTTCCCTGTTCGGAATTTGTAATGCTAATTACTCTTGCCTTTACTTCTCCTTCACATCTCCTACTCCTGATTCAAATACTTTCTTTTCCTCCTTGAGATAAGAGTTATACAATGTGAGAGTCTTGTAGATAGACCCACTGAAGGGGTACTCCAATTGCTTCAACCTGCATCCCTGTTCAGCATGGAAGAAGCCAGAGTGGTCTGTGTCCCGATTCCCTATTGGTAATTTGGGTAACCTCTTCAGAAGATGGTGTGGTAAGAATAGGAGGTAGGAATTGGCTAGGTAGTTAGGGTAAAAAGACCCCAAAGAAAAGTAGCCAAAGTGCCACAAAGAAAAGAAAACTAGCCAGTTTCTTGGCTAAAAGTCAAAATGTCCTTGGGCCTCTTAGCAACGTACTCCACTGCAAAGGCCAAAGCTGTCGAAAGTATTTGGGAGCTCTATCTAAGCCTTAAAAGATTTTAGGGTTACCTCTTCAGAGGGGGGAATGTTAGAGTAGCAAAAAGAAGAATGAGTACATGAAGGATATCAGAAAAAAGTGATGGGGCGATATGGGAGGAGTTGGAGGCGAGGGAGTGGGCATGGATTTGGTCAAAACACCTTTATGCATGTATGACATTCTCAATAAATTATTTATTTTAAAAAAAGAAAACAGGCTGAGCACAGGCCTGGGGAACAACGTTCTTCCATGGTCTGTGCTCCAGGTTCCTGCCTCAAGTGCCTACCCCAAGTTCTTCCCTCAGTGATGAATTGTGATCTGAGTTGTAAGATAAAATAAACCCTTTCTCCCCCCGCCCCCCCAAATCACAGTATACACTTATTTGTTAGAAGAGCCCATGAAAAAAAAGAAAACAGGCTGAGCACAGGCCTGGGGAACAACGTTCTTCCATGGTCTGTGCTCCAGGTTCCTGCCTCAAGTGCCTACCCCAAGTTCTTCCCTCAGTGATGAATTGTGATCTGAGTTGTAAGATAAAATAAACCCTTTCTCCCCCCGCCCCCCCAAATCACAGTATACACTTATTTGTTAGAAGAGCCCATGATCAGAGAGAAGTTCCTACTGTAGAGGCTACAGATCGAGGCTTCCAGTTACCTCCTGCCGATGCAAAAGTACCCCCTGTTCAGAGCACACAGGAAGTGATGTGAACCCCAACATCAGAATGGGAAAAGCCCAGTCTGAGCAACAACTTCTGACCTAAGACCCACTTTGGGTGCTTTCTCTGGTTGAAAGATGAAATTCGGTGTGTCTGACAGTGAGAGGGTACTGCTCCGCCAACTCTTCTATTGATAGTGGGAAAATTTATAGGGAACACTTAGAAGCATTTGTCAACATAGCAGGATAAGTGTGTTTGCAAATCAGGTACTTTAAGCATAGAAAAAAAATCACATAAAAGCAAAATGTTTATCTGTTATAGTGATTCCTTTATTCTTTCACAAGACATCGCAAATTTATTAGGCTTTGTTTTATGGCTCTGTGGAAAGGTCTGTAATATTAGTTCTATCCAGTGGCCTCACTTTTTCAACTAAGCAACACAAGCCTCCCAAATCTAATCTATGTTTTCTGGGTTATGTAAGTTCACTTTTCAGAATCTTATCTTGCATCATTCCACATGATTTATGTAACCTTTACCAGGGGAAATAGATAGATTAGCTAGATGATGATGATAGATGATAGATAGATAGATGATAGATAGATAGATAGATGATGATGATAGATGATAGATAGATAGATGATAGATAGATAGATAGATAGATAGATATAGAGAGATAGAGAGATAGAGAGATATACATATAATATATGTCTATATGAAAGGGAGATGTTAAGTTTGCTGTTCACAACAAATTATAGGACTTGTTACTAAAGGCTTACTATGGTTACTGTAACTTACTTTATTTCTTCTTTTTTTTTCTTTCTTACAGAAGCCTAACACTGTCCTGGAACCCGATTACCAGCCCTTGGCTGTAAAGAACATTACCACCCTTCCTGTCCATGTGTTGCTTTCAACAACTGGACCCTTCTTCATATGTGAGACTGACAGATCTTTGCTGCCCGCAACTCCTAAGGTAACTTGACCAGGACCAACGTGTAAGAAAAGGAAGAGAACAAAGATATACTGCCTATTTCAGTCCAGAAACTGTACAAGATCAAGGAAACAAGAGGAAAATGTTTAGGACATTTAAAATAAGTAATAAATCATTTCAAATATCGGTCAGTAGGAACACTCTGGATAGTGTAAGAACTTTCAGCCCATTAGGATAACCCATTCACTTCTGTCCATTGTCATGAAGCTGATCTTTAGAAAGTAATGATTTGCTACTAGTGAAAACCAAACCCCCATACTCAGGGACCTAGCCAAGTCTAATCTCCAAATGAGCAATCAATCCCATCTCCATATACCTGATCCAGGCTGAGAGAAGAGGCCATGAGCCCACTCCTGCCCTGAATCTGAGGCAGGAAGTAGCATTTTCTGAGCATCCCCAGGAGACTGTCCCTGATATTCTTTGCTGGGTATTGGAATACCACAAAGAATAGATGGCCTTGGGCCGGTCACACTGCAAAGCTGTAGAAGGGGAGGACTGAAGGGGAAAGCAGACCCATGCACCATTTTGGAAGCTCAGGCTTCTCCTTCAAGAGAGACAGCCAATGAAGCAGTGAGGGCAGGCAGCAAGCACCAGCTCTTAGAAAGAGCATGTGACCTAAGGCAATTTCCTGAGCCACACTCAGCAAGATGGATCTTTGAAGTGAGTGGGGACAGAGTACTTGAGGAGAAGGTATACCAGTGACCATCCAGTCTCCTCCAGCCACAAAGAGGGGAAACCGGATAAGATCTCTCAACAGAGGAAGGAAAGAAGAGAAGGTCCTAAGTAAGATACAGCAGGAAACGCAGTGCAGTGGGGCTTACCCAAGGAAAACCAACAGTACACACCTGTAGTTCTCCATAAGGCAGAGAATCGCAAGGATGAGACATGGGTGCTCAAAGAAGAAATGGAAGGTGAAGCCACAGAGAACTAATGGTCAATTTGAAGATTCAGACCTGAGTAGCACTTTTCATCTGGGTGGAAGGCTAGGCTCACTCTTGTTCTTCTGTAACTGCAACAGGATAAAAGTAGAAATTTCCCAAAAATGAAGAGCTCATATCAATAAAATAAGTGGAGAAGGGGATCGATGTAGCCAAATTATGAGATCCCTTAAACTAATGTCTAAAAGCTAGAATGATGGTTTTCTAGTGATTGGTCAATAGAGAGCCACAAAAATCAGCATCCCTAAAAATGTTGCAATGGCATCTGAAAAATGAAGTTGTCCTGACTAGTGTGCGCTAGAGTATCTCTGGGCTCAGAGACAACACACAAGAGAGCACTGAAGATCAAAGCATTCTATGTGTACCAGGCCTCACCAAGAAAAAGACAAAACAAAAATAGCACTCTTCTCCAGAGATAGGGATCAAAATGTTTGGGAGACTCTCATCTTTCAAATGACATCAGTGTTGTCCCCGAGTAAGCCCCTAACCCTGTTCTTCATTTGGGTACCCAACTGTGCCTATAGCTTTCTCATCCCCTCTTGGCCAAAGGAGACCATGCAGTGGACCAACCCTATGACAAGAATGAAGACGGTTGGGGTAACAGGGTAGATCAGGAACTACTGTTCCTTGTAGTACATTTTTACTTTTTATATTACTTGCATTCATATAACCTTAATGAAAAACACACAAATGTATTAAAAATAGGGAGGTTCTATGAATCAAGAAGAAAAATAACTGCAACCCAATAAAAAGCTAGGCAGAAGAAATGAACATAGTTCATAGAAAGAAAAATAGTGATTCAAATATATGAAAATATGCTCAACTTTGTTCATATGAGAGGAAATAAAGTTTTACATCACTATGAAATAAAGTTTTAACCTGTCAGATTAGCAAAATAGTATTGTTTTAGATGACAGAAAGCAAAACATAGATAGTGCTCAGTTTACAGAGGAAGTGTGGGAATTCTATGATGCTGGGGAGTGTGCATTGGAAGAAAATATGCCAATAGCCATCAAGTTTGAAATATTAATGTTCTGTAACCTAATAACTCCACACTTAGGGATTTATTCTATAGACACAATATACAAGATGACATATATGCAAATATATTCATGAGAACATTGCTTTACAGGCCACAGTTTGGGAGCCAATAATTTTCAATCAAAGATTGGTTAAGTAATTGATAGAAGAATTATTATTTGATGAAATAGCATAAAGCTATTTTTTTTCAAATAGACAGGGACTAGATGTCTCAGTGGTTAGAAGCACAGACTGCTCTTGCAGATGGCCCAAGCTCAAGCCCTAGAATCCACTTCACATAGTTCACAACCACCTGTAACCCCAGCTCTAGGGGAATCTGATGCCTTCTGGCTTCTGCAGGCACCTTCACTCACTGAACACACACACACACACACACACACACACACATTTAAAATAGAGCAAATCTTTTTTTAAAAAGGAGGCAGATATTGAATGACCTCACAGTGAGAAAGTGAAATGTAGACCAATGTGTATAACATGCCATCATATGCAAAAAGAACTTGCATAAGTGTGATTTTATGTCTTTAGAATGTCCATAAAGAAAAGCAAGACACTCGTAAACCTGTAAGAAGGTTCTTCCTGTAAGACACTTCTTCCTTGTAAGAAAGAAACCAAGGTAGAAGTGGGGAGAGCAGTAGAAAGATAAGCTGATTGTCATTGTTTTGCCTACTCAAAATACGAGTGAAATCTTTTTGAAAGTTCTTTTGAAATAAGGTCATAACTTTTCCTCAGACAAAAGGATATAGGATATTCAACAATGAGACATAACTTAGTGAAGTCACAAGACTCGTTGACACCCCAGGAATTCTATGACATCTAAACAGAAAAGAAGAGAGGGTTTTTTTTTTTAAAAAAAATAGGTCTTTATACTGACCTTAAGTCTCTCCACAATAACTTAATGTCAACAAAGAAATGATGACAGAGTTTTAAAGGAAAGAAACTGTGGGCCAAGAATTTTATAACTAGCTGAAGTATCCTTTGAGAATAAGGTGATGGGAAGATATTCTCCAGATACAATGACTGACTAAGCAGTCACATCCCCTTGTGTGAAAGATAACCACCCAGAAGACTCTCCGCTAAGGCCCTGTGGGACAAAGAAAAAGAACACATGGTAATGCTGACAAGGAGTGCTCAGCCCATCTAACCGAGGCTGGGTAACTAGCAGCTGGGATTTTCACAACAGAGCATTTTAAACCTTTGCTTTTAAAAGTTCACTATAGCCAATAAAATTTGGGAGATCGAAGCTGGGGTGTAGCTCATGGAATAACACTTGCTTAGCATGTATGAAGATTAGGATTGGCTCCCCAGCATCAAAAAACAAGACATGGGGGGGGGGGAGGTAAGGCGTGAATGTAGTGATTTCACCCCTTTTATGGTTAGATATCAGTGAAAACTACTTAACCTTTCACTATCAGTTTATTTACAGTGAAGAAATAAGAGTAATAACTAACATTTGTGTACCATGCACTGTGCCCTAAAAGACCATGCATATATTAATTCATTCCCTTGTATTAAAAATGGTAGTTAGGGACTATTATTATCCCTGCTCTACAGTCTATAGGTAGGGGTTCTAGATTGTACCTAGGTGCATACATGCCAGAGATAATAACAGGTGTCCCCAGTGGCATATATTCTATTCTCTCTCTCTCTCTCTCTCTCTCTCTCTCCGTCTCTCTGTCTCTCTCTCTCTCTCTCTCTCTCTCTCTCTCTCACACACACACACACACACATCAGGTGATTGGCTTTATCAACTGAAGTCGCCCCATCATGCCACCAAAGTGTCCATGACCATGTAAGCCCCATGGAGAGGTAAGGGCCACTGTCAGCACTCATTCCTGTCTCTTGCTTCTCTGTATACAAAACCATCAGGTGGGCTTTCATGCCACCCGAGTGTGCAATTGAGCAATGCCTTAAAAAAAAAGCCAACTCGGAGCTAGCCTTCCTTAGGGAAGGTGTTACTGTCAACAGAACATCAGAGGACATGTGGGGATTTGAAATCAAAGAGAGGAAAGAACTAATAAAACCTACCAAACAAGCCTTGCACTTCTCTGGAGTGTCATTTTAAGTTGACTAGAGAGCACTAGAAAGTGGATAACACTGTGCTTACTCTTTAGGATTTCAGACTTTGGAAAAAATTAAACTACTTAATCTGTTCCTTTCTGGGTCACTCTATATAGAGCCATTCCCCAGTGCCTTAGAAGGCTTTTAAAATTTGTTCCAAGCAAAGAACTTCCCCCAAGTATTCTTGTTTACCAAGAATATTTCCTAATCTAATTTATTTTTAGTTGAGAATATTTAATAAGGGGCTAGAGAAGATGGCTTAGTGGTTAAGAGGACTTGCTGTCCTTTCAGAGGAAACAGGTACGGTTCCCAGCACCCACACCAGGTGGCTCACAACAACCTGTAACTCCAGTTCCAGGGATCCCATGCTGCCTTCTGGTCTCTACAGATACTGCACATACATGGTGCACATACAAACAACTAGGCACATACATATACATAAAATAATTTTAAAGTATATTTAATATACATCTAGAGCTTGTTTGTTGGTCAAGTTGTTCATTCTTTTGTTCAAGTTATGTTCTTTCAGCAGAGGTGTTTATAATGTTCAGGAAGGGTGAGTTCATAGTAGGGTTGGGAGGTTGATTTAATAAGTATTCCTTGTGGGTTTGGCCTTCTGCAATTGCCCAGTCTTTATAACCCTACAGTTCTTATCAGAATCTTTTTCTTCTAATAATATATACAGATTCTTATATACATTGGCTGTCTTTGCTGGTTGACTAGCAGAATATCTGAGACTGGGTAATTTATAAAGAAAGGAGGTTTCTTTGGTTCACAGTTCTGGAGGTCAAGAGCATGGTACCAGTGAGAGGATCTCACACTGCTTCGAGTAATGGTAGGAAGCAGAAAGGGGAGTGGTTATGTGTGAAAGAGAGGTAAGATGTATGGTAGCCTTGCTCTGTAATAACCCATTCCTTTGGTAACTAACCTAGTCCCATAGGACCAAGAGCTCACTCCTGAACTCCAGCCCCACCAAATTTCAACATGTGTTTTGGAAGGGATAAACCATATTCAACCAAAGCAATAGCTGCTAATTATTCATAAGTATGTATTTAAACAAGTATGTGTGAATGTTTGTATGCATCTAAAGTTACAGACATAAATAACTTTGGTTGTCCTGTGTCATGTATCAGGTTGGACATTCATAGAATTGGTAATTTCTTATGCTCATATTTACAGCCTATAAAACTGGAGGTTGATGAAGAAAAAAACCTATTGGTCAAGTTTGACCCTTCCTACAGAAATGATCTGAACAACTGGGTAGCTGAAGAATTCCTATCAGTTAAGTATGTGGAACATCCTCAGATAGACAGCCTGTGCCTGCGTGGAGAAGTGTATTACCCCAACCTCAGCTTTGAGATGATGGAGGTGAACTTTGGCTGTATCCTGAATGACACTGAGGTCATTCGCTACGTTACGATCACCAACTGCAGCCCGTTGGTTGTGAAGTTCCGCTGGTTCTTCCTGGTGGATGATGATGAAAATCAGATAAGGTACTGTCAACATAGCAAGCGTAGACCTGTTGTTTGCAGCTTTGCTCTGGGTTTCCTATCTTCCTTGCACTGGTCACTTTTCATGAGTATTTTCAGTCTAATAATTCATTACTTGTGAAAGTAACGGAATCTAAACCTCATGCTTCATTGTAAATTTCCAAACAGGTAAAGCAAACTCAGCATCTTTGAAACCCCTAAGCACCACTAAACTGAGTAAATGTCCATAATCTTGCTTTTCCTTTGAATCCAGTGTTTAAAACATTCAAGTTTTATCCCTAAAAGTAAAGTTTTTGGCTGGGTGTGGTGGTGCACACCTTTATTTCCAGCACTTGGGAGGCAGAGGTAGGCGGATGTTTGTGAGTTCAGGGCCAGCCTGGTCTACATGTTCCAGGACAGCTAGGACTTCAGGGAGACCCTGTCTCAAAAAAGACCAAAAAAAAAGTAGAGTTTTTAATCAAGTATTTCATCATGGTAAGAACACGTCAAGTGAGATTTACCCTCAGCAGATTTTAAGTGTGCAATACATTGTTGTTATCTACAGGTGTAATGCTGTGCAGCAGACTCCTAGAACGTACTCACTTTAATCTTAACTGAAACTGTATGCCTGCAGGTACCCATTTTTCTCCCTTCCCAACCCCTGAAACCTCCATTCTACTCTTTGATCTATGAATTTGACTATTTTAGATAAATGATAGGCTAGCTATTACTAAAGGAAGAAGACAATTAGTGTTGGTGAAGTGTAGAGAAACTGGTTTCTAAGCACTGTTGCCAAGAAAGTAAACAATATCGTCACTGGAAAACTACGTCGAAGCTTCTGAAAAAAATTAAAAATACGCTTTGGGATATAGCTCACTGATAAAGCATCATGCCCTCATTTTGCCCATGTTGTCACATATTTTAGAATTTTCTTTTTTAGGGTTAGGTAATATTCCCTTCTTTTGTATGTAAATACTGCATATTACCCATTTGTTTAGTGATGGGATTTAGGGTCTTTCAGAATCTTGTCTATTGGGAACAGTGTTGCAAGGGACATATCTCTTGAGATCCTGATTTCAATAATTTGGATAAATACCCAAAAGTGGTATTGCAGGATCACATGGTGGTTTTATTTTTCTACTGCTGAGGCTGGAACCCAGAGCTTCATACTTGCTAGGCAAGCATTTTACCACAAGCTACATCCCCAGGCCTATTTTTAATTATTTGAGCAGCTTCTGTTCGATTTTCCATAGTAACAGCCGCATTTTGCCTTCCTGGCAATAGCATATAAGAGTCCTGGTCTCTCCACACTGCATTAATGCCTCATCTTTTTTAATGAAGTTTTTTATATATGTATTTTTCCTGCATATATGTAAGTTCACCATGTGTGTGCAATGCTCATAGAGGCCAGAAGAGAGTGTCAGAGGTAAGGACAGTTGTTAGCTGCCATGTGGGTACTGGGAACTGACCTCAGGGCCTCTGCAAGAGCAGCCAGTGCTCTTAACTGCTGAACCATCTCTCCAGCCCCTAACAATAATGGCCATCCTAATAGGTGTGAGGGGATCTCTCACTGAGGTTTTCATTTGCATTTCTGTGATGACTGCTGATGCTGAAGACTTCTTGGAGAAATTTCTATTCAAGTCTTTAACCCATTCTTAAGTTGGATGACTAACTGGTGTTTTGAGGCTTTGATTCTGCTATTGAGTTATAGGAGTTCCTTATACACTTTGGAAACAAACCCTTACCAGATCCGTAGTTGGCAATCTGTCTCACCCATTTCATAGGTCACAGTTCCTCTGCTGTTTCCTTTGCTACACAGAATCTTTTCAGTTTAATGCATTCCCATTTATTTTTGTTTTGTTGCCTATAGAGTTTCCTGTTTATGTCTGGGCATCTTCCTGTGTCTGCAGCTGCATGTGCACACGTACATATGTGCTTGTGCATTTGGAAGCCAGAAGACAATTAGATCTTTTAATTGTCTTTAATTTATTATTATTATTTTTATTTTTTATGTGTATGCGTGTATTGCCTGCATGTAGGTAAGTGCGCCCGTGTCATGCAATGCTGGCAGAGGTCAGAAGAGGCTGTCGGATCCTCCTGGGACAGTTGTTAGCTGCCATGTGGGTGCTGGGATTCGAACCCGGGTCTTCTGCAAGAACAACCAGTGTTCTTAACTGCTGAGCCATCTCTCCAGCCCCAATTGTCTTTAATTTTTAATTAGCTTATAAAGCAATAATTTTCCATATGGTGTCTTCGTAGGTATTTATTTTGGCTGGTTCTCCTTCCTCCCCACTTTTCCTTCATCTTTCTGCCCCCTTCCCTGCTATGACCTTATCCCCCATTTCCAGTCTGTCAAATTGTCTTCCCTGCCCCCTCCCTCAGAGCCTCTTTGTTTCCCAGTTCTGTATGCCCCTGTGTAGTTCTCTGGCCTCGGCCCATATTTTTTCATACCTGGATATGCATATTAATTAGAACAGAGGTTAGTATCTACATAGGAGAGAGAAAATACAGTATTTGTCTTTCTGATCTGGGTTATCTTGCTTAAAATAGTGGTTTTCATTTCCATCCATTTTCCTGCAAATTTCATGATTTCATTTTTCTTTACAATTGAATAAAATGCATATATATGTACGTGCTGCGTGTTCGTTATCCATTCATTTACTGATGGACATCTAGCTTGGTTCCACTTCCTTGCTACTGTGAAAAGAGCAGCGATGAACATGGATGGGCAAGTTTCTCTGGCAGAAGGCGGCATCATCTGGGTACATGCCCAGGAATGGTATAGCTTGGTGGGTCTATTTTCAGGGTTTGGGGAGTGGGGCAAGCCTCCACACAGATTTCCAGAGTGGCTACGTTAGCCTACATGTCCACTAACAGTGTATAAGGATTCTCCTTTCCCCACACCCTTGCCAGCATGTGTTGTCATTTGTTTTTCTGATAGTTGCCCCATTCACTGGGGTGACATGGAATCTCAAAGTTGCTTTTTAAAGATTTCTTTATTTTATGTGTGTTCCTTGAATGTATGTACATGTACCACATGAATGCATACAGGTGCCTGCAGAGGCTAGAAGAGGACATTGGGTCCCTTAGAGCTGGAGTTATAGGCAGTTGTGAACTGCCTAGTGTGGGTACTGGGAACCAAACATGAGTCCTCTGCAAGAGCAGCAAGTGCTCTTAGCCTCTGAGACATCCCTCCAGCTTCATTAAGGTAGTCTTAATTTGGATTTCCTGAATGGCTAAGGATGTTAAGACATTTCTAAAAATATTTGTTGGCCATTTGTATTTCTTCTTTTGAAAACTCTCTGTTCAGATCATTGGTCCTTGTATTGATTGGCAGCTTTGCTTCTTTTGTATTTAATTTTTTCAGTTCTTTATATATTCTATATATTAACCCTTGCCTGGGGTATAGCTGACTCAGACTTTCTCTCATTCTGTAAGCTGTCTATTTACTCTTGATAGTTTCTGATAGATAAATGGGAAAAACCTCCAAGACCCAGGCAAGAACTCTGGCAAGGTAAAGTTTATTGAAGGAGGACACAGGATAGCTCTCAGCTTGGGAGTGAGGAAGCTACCAGTTTGCAGGCTGTTGGCTGGGAGCTTTTATAGGGGGCTAAGGAATGCAGAAGGTGGGACAATTAATTCAAGCAGAGGGTCTGAACTTATCAGGAAGTGACAGTCTTTGTTGAAACAGCCGCTTACATCTACTGGGTCCTGGGTCATGGGATTAAGGGGGTCTGCTTCTCTTCTAAACTTATCTTAAGGGAAGCAGCTTGTGCTGAGCCAGCTCTTGAAGCAGTGGGTCATGGGTGCAGGGGCCTGTTTATCTTCTAAAATTATCTGGGAAACAGCTTTGTGCTGAAACAGCTCTAAATGCAGCTGCTGGGCCAGTTCCTGTTTTGCAAGGGGGCCTCAGGACCTGTCTTGGGAGGCTTTACTGCATTGGGGAAGGGTCGTCTGCAGACCTGGACTCTTAACATTCCAGCTTTTTGTGTTATAGGATGGGGGGGGCGTTTCTCATCTGGCTTCTTCCTGCTGGTCAGGGTCCTGGTGGGGAGAGGCTGGGAGTTAGAGCAGGGTCAGGCAGCAGGAGTCTCCACCTTGTGCATCTGTCTGGACAAGGTCCTCAGTGGTTGACAGGCATTCATACACATGTGTGGGAAAAGAGAGTAATACCTGGTTAAAGCTGATATGAGTCAGTTTTTTAATCCATCCCTGAAAATATCTGAAGAGACGGGGAGCAATGGTTAGCACTAGAGTAATAGAAAGCAGGGGGCCAAGTAAGGGCAGAAGCCAGGGAGTCAGCCCTGCAAAAATATCCCATTGGAGTGATTGTTGGTATTGGAAGGTTTGAAGTGAAAGATCCTTGGCCACCTGTTGAAGGCATTTTATATTATGTTCGAACTTACCTGATTGGTTGACATAGTAGCAGCATTCCTAGCCCAAGAAAATGCAGGTACCCCTTTTGTCTGCTGTCAGTAGGTCCAGGGCTCACCTGTTCTGGAGGGCAACTTTGGCCAGGGAGGACAGTTGCTGTTGTAAGATCTGGACTGACTGGGCTGTTGCTTCCACCACCGTAGTGAGCTCCTGCTTGAGGTCCTGGATCTCCTGAGAGAGGTGTTGGGCTAAGGGTAAGGTATGTCTCAGACTCCCTGCCATGAATCCTGTGGCAGCTACAGAAGATACCAGGTTGATTCCCACCAGAACTGCTAGAGTAGCTGACATTTCTGCTCTGCTCCTGTTTCTGTGGAGAGAAAATCATGCACTTCTCCCGAGGTATATAGGGTTAATCTGGGTATGAGGACAACTGGAGTATAGGTATCCTTGACTTGTGGGGAGATACAGATATATATTTTGGAGGAGCAAAGGAAAAGCAGCCCTGGGGCTAGGCCAGTATTGCCTCAGATTGTAACATTGAAGATGGAAGAGTAGGGGCAGTTAGAGATTCGGGGGGGGGCCAGCACTCCAATTTATTAAGAAAAGGGCGTAGGGGAGGCAGAAGCTGTTGTATTCTGGGTTTAAGGAGC